TGAAGGCAATTTTCACACATTTCATTCAGGCCTGACAGTTAACAAGATTGGCAAAAACCAAAAGCTAAACTTTTGAAGGTGAAGTGAGAATGGCGTTATCTTTTAGTGTATTGAAGCATTAATCAGAGGAGGGCTGATAGAACTGTCTGCTGAAAAGAGACTGACAGATACTCGTGTAAAGGCCTTTTCACAACTCAACGTCAGCATTGCTCGATGCATTAAACTGTTGAGCAAACTATGAATTACAACATTACCTCCAGCGCCATGTTGTCAGTCAAGCATTGTAACATGGCATTCAAACAATTTCAACTTTGACCCCGTTTGCTGTCCTTTGAAGCACATCCAATGATTACCAGACAATTTGCAATGACAGGTCTCACTTTGCACCTTGTGGTATTTTACTCATGATTTTGATTCACTAATTATGTCTTTTAATCATCCTAGGCAAGGCAAGTTTATTTATATAGCACATTTCGTACACAATGGTAATTCAAAGTGCTTTACATAAAATAAAGTAAAATAATCATACAAAAAAAGTATCACAGAAATAAAACAAGGAATTTAAAAACTTTGAAGATGATTTAAAAATTGATTTAAAATGAATGTAAGACAGTGAAGAAAATGTTGGCACATCCAACTGTTTATTTCATCAATGTATTGGCAGAGGGAGTCAATGGGGCTGTAGTCATTTGGTGATAAGGCTAGGTAAATCTGGGTATCATCAGCATAGCTGTGATAGGCAATTTGGTTCTTTCTCATTATTTCATCATTCTTTCTCCTAATGTCCCAAGAAACTGCCATGCTTTCAAAATGAGGGTAAAATGAGTCAGTTTTCTGTATAAAGAGCCGATACAGTACATACACATACACATACACATACAAATATACATTATACATATAGAGTCAGGTCCGGAAGTATTCAGACTCTGACTGAGTTTTTGCCTTTATACACGACTACAATGGATTTGAAATCAAACAATCAAGATGAAACTTAAGTGCATACTTAATTCAAGTGGTTGAACAAAAATATAACATAAAATGCTTAGGAATTACAACCATTTTTATACACAGACCCCCCTGTTTTCAGGACAAAAACTCCTGGGTTGCTTTTGCTGTATGTTTTGGGTCATCATTTATTTGTACTATGAAGCGCCGCCCAATCAACTTTGCTGTATTTGACTGAATCTGGGCAGAGAGTATATCTCTATACACTTCAGAATTCATCCGGCTGCTTCTGTCACGTCATCAATAAACACCAGTAACCCAGTGCCACTGGAAGCCATGCATGCTCGTGCCATCACACTGTTCCACATGTTTCACAGATGATGTTGTATGCTTTGGATCATGAGCTGTTCCAAGCCTTCTCCATACTTTCTTCCCGCCATTCTGGTGCAGGTTGATCTTAATTTCAGCCGTCCAAAGAATGCTTTTCCAGAAGTGGTCTGGCTTTTTTAGATGTTTTTTTTTTTTGGAAAAGTCTAATCTGGCCTCGTTTGCATCTTGTGGTGAACCCTCTGTTTTTGCTCTCGTGTAGTCTTCTCTTGATTGTAGACTTTGACAGTGACACATCTACCTCCTGGAGAGTGTTTTTCTCTTGGCTGGATGTTGTGAAAGGGTTTTTCTTTACCATGGAGAGGATTCTCTGATCATCCTTCACTGTTGTCCTCCGTAGACGTCCAGGTATTTTTATGTTGCCGAGCTCACCAGTGCGTTCTTTTTTCTCAGAAGGTACCAAACTGTTGATTTGGTCATTCCTAATGTTCCTGCTATCTCTCTGATGGATTTGTTTTGTTTGTGAAGCCTAACAATCATCTGTTTCACTTGTATGGAAAGATCCTTTGACTGCATGATGTGGGTTCACAGCAACAGCTTCCAAATGCAAATGGCACACTTAGAATCAACTCCAGACCTTTTACCTGCTTAATTGATGTAGAGATAACGAAGGCATAGCCCGCATCTGTCCATAAAACAGCTTTTGAGTCAACTGTCCAATTACTTATGGTCCCTTGAAAAAGGGGGGAGGTACATATTAAAGAGCTGTAATTCCTTAACCTCCAATTTTGATGAGAATACCTTCAAATTAAAGCTCAGAGTGTGCACTTTAATTCCATATTTATATAACTGTAACTACTTGAATATGTTTTTGCTAAAATAATAAAAATTGTGCCTGTGTCCAAATATATGTGGACCTGACTGTACATGTATATTATACATATACTCATATTTATTATCCTGTGGAACAGGAAGTCATGGCTGGGCAATCATGCTCATAGTCACCCTGTTGTGCTAAAAATATAAACATGAATGGGAATATTCTTTAGAGATATTTTGCTCAAAATAATTTCTAGGGGTGCCAATAATTGTGGCCAACATGCATAGGTGAAAAACGTTTATATCATCATGAGATTTCTTAACTTTCAATTGTTTTACTTCAATGATACGTTAGAATTTTGTGAATTTTTGGAATGAAAGATCAAAAGGATAAACGATGCAGATGTATTTTCATAGCCGCCTTTGCTCATATTTACCAAGGGTGACAATATTAGTGGAGGGCACTGTAGCAACACACAACTGTGTCCCTTTTCATGGTCGCATTTCATATTTGATATCAATCATCTGTATTATTCTACTTTACTAAGAGTTGCAATTTTAGTTCATGTAGATTTCACAAATCTATGTATATCTATTTGTTTCTTAGTATATACAGGTGTTCTGTTTTTTTGTTTTTGTTTTTTTTTTCACAGTAGCATTTTAGTAAAAAATAACATTCTTTTACTTCAAATGTCCTTTGCACCCTATCATAGAGAACAGCATGTGTAAGGTCATAAATCTTTTCAAATATTGTCAAATATTTTAGGTGAAATTTTATCCAGATTTTCAAAATGAATGAATGAATTAACGAACAAACAAACAAACAAATAAGGCTGCATATTAAACTGAAAGGTGATTTTCTTCTGTTTGATTGATATTCTTGACATTGGAGCTTTAACAGATAAATCATCAGTCCACATTAGCCCAAGCCCCCCCCCCAACAAAAAAATACATATGGTCCAGAGGTTTAAAGAGTACCTGAAATCCATACTTAAGTACAAGTACAGCAAAAATGACTCCATTACAAATTGCAAGTCGCCAATTTAAACACAACTTGAGTAAAAGTCTTATAGTATCTGATTTTACCAATACTTAAGTATTTTACTCATACTGAATAGGCTCAAAGATGCACTAGTCCTCAATACCCAAGAGAACTGCCAGTGAAAAACAAGAAACAGTTGATTTAATAGAAGAGCAATAACATATTTATTTTCTAAAATCCATATAAAACTGAACACCTCAAAATTGCGATAAATCAAGGTTGACACAACAGCCTCTTAAACGTCTACAAACACTGAAGTCTCACTTAAGCTCAAGTACTCAAAAATTGCATAAGTAAACCAATATCCTTCAAAAAAGGCCTCAGCCATGTCCTCATCCCATTTATGAAACACCTGCGATTCACAACTACCAGCTAATGCATTCACATTTGTGTAAAGTAGCCTTGTTGACAAGTGTCAGTGTGTGAGAGCAAAACACACAGACATAAGACCTTCAAAGTTCTGTAGATGGCGGTTTCACATCTTTTGTAGCTGAAATAAACTTCTGGAGAAAAAGTTAGGTGTCATGCAAAATGTAAAGACTACTTGAATTATTCATTACAAATGTATTGAAGAGTACATATACATATTCAAAGGCGCATTCTACTAGAGAGTAAAAGTTGCTAATATCTTTGATACTCAGTACAATTACAAAGTGGCCAAAAATATACTCAAGTACAACAACTACATTTTCACTAAATTTACTCCAATACTTTACACCACTGATATAGTCTGTATAGTCTACTGATATAATTGATATAACTGCATAGCCTATCATATGTTTAATGTACAATCATTAGTAAAATAGCAAAGTAAACCCATTCAGGCTGATACAAGATCCTGGTCTCCCTTTAAAATTGTACTGATGATGGCTGGCTGTATATTATCCTTTACTTAACCAATTTGAGATTTTTTTTTTTTTTCAGCACTATGGGCAGTGTTTTTTTTTTTTGGTATGCTTTCCATGTAAATGTTCACACTTCTGTTGCACAAAAATAAAAATAAAAGTGTACCGCATTTCTCAGGAGAAGGTCAAACTGGTTGTTGTCCAGCCTGAAGCGAGACAGATACCTGTTGTCATGGTGCTCCAGTTTTTCAACTAATTTAAATTCACTAGGTGCATCCAGAGATAGTAAAGTTCAATGTTCGACGTTGCCATTTTTCTTCCTGCAATTTATCAAAGCCTTCACCAAAACGTTTATTCGGTTCCAAGCTCATATACATGATTCAACGGTTTACTTTGTACACTTACCGCCTTCTCGTCAACAGTTTGACAAATTCAGACTGATTACATGCTCACATTCAAGCAGGTGTCACCCCTAGGGTATATCATAATAGCCTTCTCTTCAGCTCTAAGAAAAACTACAGCATCCAAGACAAGTACAAATTAAGTGCTTTAAAATCTTTCAGGGATATTTCACATATAACTAGAGCAAACAAAACCAGACTGTTGTATGTATATGGGAGCTGTCCATAGTGCTGAAATACACTCTTAGTACTGTATGCAGGAATTTAAAGTGGCACTTGTTGTTTCTAGGTCACTCTGTGCCTTAGGCAAGGTAAGAAATTACTAAAAATAAATCCAAATAAAATAAACATGCAAAGTATAGTAGGGTTATGGTTGTTAAGTTGTTGGCTGCAGTTCACTTAATGGCCACCGGTGTCGCTAATAACAAGAGTTTCTGATTTCTACATACAGCCCCTTTAACAATAAGTAATACATTGTGCATCTGAGCACATTTCAATGTCAGTGTCAAAACAATGCAACTGAAGCACATATCTGCACTGGTCATCAGATCATAAATAGTACCAAAGCAAATGTTTGGCTTCTGAATATTAATAAGGTAAGAGCATTATCAAGAGACTCACCCCTGCAGTTCTTTGACTGAGAGTGATATCTTGAGGTTATGTCCCAGCACATGAAGAGTGGTCAGGATGTCTGCCCATTGGACCATCTCTCCGAGCGGGCCACCCTTCAACACTTTTGGACTGAACACATCACCGGATTCCTCTGTCAGAAAGCCCACATGCACCAGAATCTGAAAGGAGGGGGAAAAGAGGTTCAGAATAACATATTACTATATTACTCATAACACATAATACTATTTCTGCAGAATAGTATGTCTACTGTGCACATTATACTAAACATCTGTAAGCACAGAATGATAACCTACTAAATTTGCCAAAATCAACCATTTGTTTCCAGTGGGATAAATTAATTATAATATACTAATTTTACAAAAAAAAGCTACCCGTCAATAATAAGTCAAGTAGCAGTTTTGACTATCCACAGCCTTAATACGAGTACATACCAACTAGATAAAGACTTAGCCAGACAAAGCTAGGATGTAAAGGATTACATTTCTCATGATGTTGTTTGTATCACAATTTCAGTTCAGTTTAAGAAAAGTTTTATTATTATCTTATATTCATTTTTCACAGCATTAAGCTATGTTGTGCAAAATGCACCACATTGTAAACTCACTAAAATGTCTGTAAGTTACTGAAACTGTATACTTACTGATATTTTAGAGGTGTTATTATACTTGAGTACCAAACTGTATTTTATTTTATTTTATTTTATTTTATTTTATTTTATTTTATTTTATTTTATTTTATTTTATTTTATTTTATTTTATTTTATTTTATTTTATTTTATTTTATTTTATTTTATTTTATTTTATTTTATTTTATTTTATTTTATTTTATTTTATTTTATTTTATTTTATTTTATTTTATTTTAAAAAAAAAAAAAAAAAAGGGATTTTAAGTATAAAGGCATCTTTATTATTTGGATTTACAGTTCTCCCAGTCACCACACAAGGTTGATAACATTTGCCCTTTTGACTAAAAACCATATTTTTCTAAATTCCAAATGAATAGCTGTACTCAACCTACATATATGAAAGAATAAAAACATATACTGCTAAGTGTCTATTCCTGACAGCAGTACGAGTTTACTTTAGTATTGCAATCTTTTCTGATATAACGAATAGATACGACCCTCCAAAAAGAATGAAAGATTACGTTAAAGCTGTGTTCTTGCAGAAGTCTGTATGAATACTACAGCAAAAGAAGAAAAAAAAAGCTCCAAATAAAGTATGAGCTTGTACAGAGATGTAGGTGAGGCACTGTGAGACCACGAGAACGGATAATTTTTTTTAGGAGTAACATCAATCTCAATACAACTGCTCCGATACTCTGAATATAGCAACAATAGCCAGCTAGTGAAGCAAGAAATATAATGTAACATGCACTCTATAGTTTGTTATAATATATATATACAGTATATATATATATTCGTATTTAATCACACAGTCTTTACTGTTCAAATGTTTGACTGAAAAAGCTGAACTGAGTGTCTATAAGCAAATAATCTTTTCACCTACCAGATGCTTTTTTTTTTGTATGTATAAAGACAATGATAGTGTATTTTTAGTTTTATGGGGAAAGTAGTTCATTTACTGAACTTACAGATGGACTACTATTTTCATCTAGAGGGTTTATTGAGTGAATGTACCTTAAATGAGTAATGCAGCTCTCAGATATTTCAAGGTATTTCAGAATGATTCATGAAGCTCATCGTCTTATCCTAGGTGGGGTTTTTTCCCCCCCCAGCCATTAACAAGCATTGTTTTCATGGTGCAAAAGTATGAAAGAGTTGCATGGCACTATCTCAGCATCACAAACTACCATAACAGTCCAATGTGATTGTTTTTCTACCATTGCTTTAGAATATGTATTTAAAGCAATATTCATCACAGATTTATTAATTCAATTACAGACACATGACAAGTATATTTGGAAATAGTGAGCTAACAGAAAAGTGGATTTTTTTTTTTCTACTGAAACTGAATGATGGAATATCAGAATGTTGGAGTTCAGACATGGACTCAATTTCACTATCTGTGGTTTTCCAATGAAATCACTCTCAATGAAAACAAATTGCTGCTAAAGTGATAGATGGGAATGGAGGCCAAGTGCATGATCAATACTGTTTCTGATGAGCTGCACAGCAACTTCAGTCACTTTATTTTCCCTCTCTGTCTAAAATATAATATTTCCATTAATAAATAACATATATCGATTTTTGCCATTAATTAATTTTATTCGTTGTATAATTTTATTTTGATTGCATGGGGCATTATTACTCTGTGCTTTAAAGAAGTACAGTTATTTTAATTATACTACTGTATATTATTAATATATGATTACTAACTATTAAGCGTTAATATATTATTAAATTAATTATTATTATTATTATTATTATTATTATTATTATTATTATTATTATTAATCATATAAAATCACATTATAATTTAATAATTAATCATTTAGATAAAATAAGGTTTAATTTGTTAAAATTAGTTAACAACATTAGTTACATGAACTAACGGTTAACAATGCTTCTACAACATTAATTTAATCCAGGTTAATCTCATTTTTAAAACATTTACTATTTACATTTTAACAGCAAAGTTGTATCTGTTGACATTACTTAATGCACTATATGAACTAATATGAAGATTATTATTTTGTATTTATTTTTTATTAACTAACATATTGCACATTGTTAGTTTATGTTAGTTAATGCATTAACTAACTTTGACAAATGAGACCTTATTGTAAATTGTTACCATAATTCGACTGGTTGGACAAGATACAGCATACTGTACATTAATAATAGTTTTGTTGTAATAAATGGTACTTTTATTACTATATATCTAATTTACATTTAGGTTATGATTTAGACATCTTTATTAAACCAAATGTTTTATTTTAAAATATTTATATTTTATTTTAGTACTTAATACTGTAGTTTATGGAATACAATATAATAGTTTGTGGAGTCATTAAGGATCCAAGATCATTCATTGGAATTGATTCTTAGCCAAAATAATTAGATTCCTTAAGATTCTCATCCTACACATGGTAAACACAGTCATCTGGTAATCTATATCCATTAATAGCTGTAGGCAGATTCAACCAACACTGGCTTTTACAGAATGTTAAATGACTCAATAGGGACATCAAAAGTGCACCAACCAAAAGGAATGTTGAGAAAGCATGAGCAAAGACAAATCGACAGAGAAACAGTTCATAATTAAAAACTACCACATGGGAAATCTGTGCAACCAGCCACCACAAACATATTCACAAGCACCTGTAATTATCCTACACTTACCAGTCAAACTCATAAGCAGCAGACTTCACCTACAGTAAACAGCTTTTTCATGGTCACAGTCAATCTCTTCACAGAAAACCACTTCTCTATGTGACAGAACTGAGAGTGTGTATCTGGTCTGTATCTCGCTGTGAGACTGATTTAATTTAATCCACCGTTTTTCATTCAGGCTTGGCTCTAGGACAGGAAATGAAAATAATCAGTCTGTAAAGGCGTATTTATAACTGATTTGTGAAAAAGCGAACGGTACAAACATTACTACTAATCTTTTTTTTTTTTCTATAATAAATGTTCCTACTCAAACAATTTTTTTTTTCCAGAGAAGGTTAGGTAAATGTGTGTTTTGCAGACCTATTTTTGATTTTAATACCATCCAAATCAAACACGGCTGTGTTTTTCTTACACAACCTCTATAAAAATTGTGGAGTAAATTCCATACTCTGTTGGCTCCTCTGAGAAATCTAATCCCATCCTTATACCGACATCTGTGATTGCGCTATATAATTGCGCTTCTCATTTATTTTGACCTTCATCAAATACCATAAGTACAGCTAAACTTCTGGTTTGAAGTCCCAGTCGCATCCAAATCAATACATGACAGGACAGACTTCCTCTGTTAATAACAAACTCAAATGTCACTTCGAAAAAAAATCTCATCTGGATAGTGCGAAGGAAGTCTTTCTTTTACAAGGCAGCCTCATTATATCCTATAGCACCTTTAATTCACCTTCTTTAGACAGTGTTTGACAGCTCACCCTCTTCTGCTCTCTGTACTGACCGCGCAGTCGCTCGTCAAGTCTGCGTGCAGCTGCAGCCCACTGCGCAGTCAATCTGCGCATACGCCTCCTCATGAAGCTCAAAGATTCTTTGCCCGAGCCGACCCGTTCCAACAGTAGAGACAGATCTGAGCGGAAATATGCCTATAGAAAGAGATAAAGTTAGAGAAAACAGGCAAAGAAGTGTACAGATCAAATTTGTGCCCATAAAAAAGTAATAAGTGTGGATTATTTCACTGAAAAAAACTAATATATTCATAAGTACTGTTATACTTTACAAGTACACTTTAGTATACTGTGCTTTTAAAAATAGTACTTATTATGGAAATAATATAGCCTACTTTAAAAGACGTGTGAACTGAACATAATATTTTCAGACGCAACTGCATGCTAATTGCAATTAAATTAAAATGTGTTATAATTTCAATTTATATTAAATGCAGTTATCTGAACTTTAAAGAGTTTTTTTTTGTTTTGCATATGTAATTTTACAATTAATTTTATTGTCTTTGAAATATGGTTAAAGTATAATACCGAATGTACTGACAAGCATTTATAGTAAACTAAATAATACTTTAATGTCATTTCTATTGCAACCTGTATGTCATGTATTTAAATATATTTGTAATTACACATTTGTAATAATGAAGTTGCAATTTAGTGCATTTAAATATATTTATAACATAATATATATAAAACCGCAATACTGAATAACACACTGCAATTAAAATGATAATCAAGTACTTTACATTAAGTGCCCTTTTATTTCATTAATATTATGTTACAGTATGCTACTTTTTAAATATACTTTTAAGATTTGAAGTACACTACAAGTGGACATTCAATACAAATAGAGTAATATGTTGTTCTGCCAATCTAGAATATTGCTATTAAATGACTTGCTACTAAACTATGCCTTAGGGGGAAAAAATGAATAAAATGATATCTCATTTCAGTCTTAGCAGGGCTTATAGACATTGTGAATAACAGCTAAACAGCTGGAACTCTCTCACTTGAAATAACACACTGTGATAGTAACTAACCAGGTGAGAACACACATACTGCTCACACAGTCCCTGTTCTAAAAACCTACTGAGCTGCCTTGCTTTCTACAGCCTACTAAGTCAGAATTCTGACTAAAATTAAACCTGATATGGAATGATAGGTAACAACTTGTGTGTTCTAGGATTGCCTTCCTGGTAAAAGATACCTGCAATACTGCCTATGTAGGCAACTCATTGGGTTTTGGAAAAGAGCCATGGGATCTTAGCCATAATCACACTTCACTAACTCCTACATCTCTCTGTTGCAATAAATTCATTGAAGTGATTATTGACTCTTTCAGGAACTCACCTGTCTTTTTGGCAGGCTGCTTGTTGTGGGGTGGCTGCTTTGATTCCTCCAGGCCAGTGGGGGGCAGAACCACTCGGCTTCACTAAGGTAGATGAGGAAAGAGCAGTCGGAGCCGTCTACTCCATAAAAGGAGTAGCAAGGGTCCGATGTCCACCTGGCTCTCATCCACTAGAAAATTAAGAGATGAGTAACAGTTAAAAGTTGTCACTAATTTGACATTTCACTGAGAGGACAGAGGTGTGATACCTGAACAGAGTGCAACGAGAACCATCAAATGAACAGTTTTTATTAATAACTTGCCTTTCGGTTTGTAATCATGCAAGCCTCACATCACCAAGTACAATGCCAAGCATTGGATGGATTGTCTAAAGCAGTGGTGTCCACTCCTGCTCCTGGAAGGCCATAGTCAGAGCAGTGGAAACTTATTCTGTGGCATGATGAATCACGCTTCACTGTTTGGCAGTCTGATGGGTGAGTCTGGGTTTTTGACGTATGCCTGGAGAATGTTACCTGCCCATTGTACCAAATGCAAAGTTTGGAGGAGGAGGGATAATGTTATGGGGCTGTTTTTCAGGGGTTAGGCCCCTTACTTCCAGTGAAGGGAAATCTTGATGCTTCAGTATACAAAAACCCAAGATACACTGCACGATTTTTGGCTATCCCAGACGAAATATTGGCATCATGAATAATCGTGGCGATTTCTGTGATCGTGGCTCCTAATCGGTGGTCCTGTGTCGTATAGTGAGAGAGGTTCAAAGACGGCCGTTGTCACAGTCTTATGACCAAAGTCAGCCTACTATAATTTTCTGACAGTGTCAGAAATTCAGCATGATCATCGCACAGTGTGTTTGCTGCTACGACCCACGTTTACTGACCAGCCACTAAAAATGCGACATGAAATCAACGCGACATGGCGTTAAAACATAAAACTGCTTACCTCAAGCTCTTACCCTTTCCTCTTTCGCCACTTACACTTTTTTCAGCACACATTAAAATTACAACTGCTAAACATGATTCGTCATTCCCTTTTCGTTTACCACTAGCATATGCTGATGACGTTTTATTCTTCTATAGTAACGTGCGTCATAGCAAACGAGTCAATAGGTGTCATCATCGTACAGTCTACATGCATGTCGTACCCAAGTTTATTAGATTTGCAATGATATTATAGGATTGCTAAAATTGTGCAGCCTGTAGAAGGCTTAAGACACAGCATACCAACTCCATATTAATGTCTATGCATTTAGAATGTGCAACAATCTCTCATAGTGTAATGGTCAGGTGTCCAATACTTTTGTCCATATAGTGGATTTCCCTGCATGGGAACCTTGACATTGTTCTACCAGTTGAGCATCAGGGCCTGATAGAGAGCATGGTGATCTTTAATGAAAAAGGTTGAGTCAGTTCAGGTCAAAGGGTCTTATATACGTGCCGAGTTCAGTCTTCACCTCAATGCCTCAGCAAACCTTTACAAGAGCATAGCAAACTGAACTCTTAAGTGCTTTCTTACCCAGCTGATTAAAAACAAAAAGTATATGCTTTGCAAGCAAAGATTGGCTTGATTTAGTTGTTTTCAGGATTTGTTTGGACTGCTGAACAAACATTTGACCTTACAGAAACTCTCATCCATACAACTTCACATGGATGATGGATGGCGTCATACTTATTCGAATCAATCCAGACCTGAGTGACTGACTGAACAGAGTGTACAATTCTAACAGTCCTTTCACACCAAATATGAAGTAAAACACAAAATGTTTTGCATTTTTGTATGGTGGGATTTAATTAGTGAAGTTTAGCAGCAAAAACATCAGTAAATAAAGTGAGATAAAGTCCATAAACTCTAGTTGATGTATTATTTAATTATTGTTTCATAAAGTTTAGTGTTTACATTCATTTTGAGAAATATTGAAACTGTTATTGCTGGACACAGCTGCTGAAACATACCCCTTTATGGTTTCTTATCTGTATCTGCACATATTTTATGTGCTCATACATTTTAGTAGTAGTATAAGAGTAATGAATGTAAGTACAATGAATTGCCAAACAAACTCTTGCACATTTTTCTTGTTGTTGTGTCTCACCATGCAAAGGAACTTTGTAAGGTAAGGTGAATGCAGCAAACAATTGCACTTCCGTGCACTGTATTTCAGCCCTAGAACCTGTTTCTTATTTGACTAATGAATTGCAATATAAGTTTGAATGAAAAGTGAATAAAAAGTGAAGGTAAAAATATTTATAATGTTTACAAAAGATTCCTATTCAAAAAACAACAACAACAAAAAACGGTTTCAACAAAAATGTCAGGATGTGGTGGTGTGCCTTCATAATATAGCAATACAGCACTCCGAGGCAGTTGTGAGATCTGCACTGTGTAAAATGCACTCAGCACAGATTTTCAGGCTTTTTGTTGAGCTGTTGCCTGATCTGCATAATTAATTTAGTGAATCGGGCTAAAGCAGCGCTGACAGCACACACAAATAAACAGCTTTCAGTGGGAGCAATTCATTCTTAATAAATCCCCCCTGTATGCATTAACTACAATACAAATCATTAAATGCATCATAATTATCTTAAACGTTTGACAGGCCAAGATTTTGTTTCATAAAAACTCTCTTAATGCAATGGGGGAAATATGCAAATGTAAAATGTGTGGTAGAAGAATGTCCATGTAGGTAAGTGTAAGTATGTGCAAAATAGAGACAGAAAAAGATTAATGAGGATAAACGGTGTGTCTCACACAGGGCAAAAGTGTGAATGATTGCTGAGTATTTATGTAAACGACTTGTTTACCACAGGTTACACATTAAGTTCACGAAGACTAAAGAGCTCATGAACTGCAATCATTTTATTTAATAAGTAATTTTCAGGCTTGTGCTTAAAAGCGTGAAATACAAAGACAACAGCAGATTTAAGTTGCCACCAAAAGCTCTGATATGGGATGTTCACCATAAAAAAAAATCTGTAGTATTTCTTTTACTTTTTTGCATCTTTTTTGTACTGATTATTCACACTGGAGTGAAAGGACCATAAGACTCCATCCAAAATCACCTCAGTCACCATGAATGCAACCCAGATTGCAGTTGATGTATCCAATATTCACAATACATTTGTCATTATTCTGCTAGAAATATAAACAATAAGCAACCCTGCGAACTCAATGTTTAATTAACTTTTTATTTGGTGTCTTAAAGGTAGCATGGGTGATTTTGTAGAGGCTAGCAATAGCAAGCTAGCTTTGAAAGCATGCGTTCCACCCTCCCTGCAAAATCACTCTTCAAAACCACGCTTCCTCCAGAACATGAGTTAACCATTTATTTTACTTTTATTTATTGTTTAAAGCCTATTGGGCACATTTTGTGAATGCACTCTGAGTTTCTTGTGGTAACTGATAGTGGCACTTATTATACTTGGCTTAAAGGCTGAGCACGTTTTGGTAAAGTGTCTGGGATGGTCTGATTCTAGAAAAAAAAAGAGAGAGAGGACAAACTGTACTCAAACAAACAAAGGAAAGAGACATCATCTAAAAAAAACCAACAAAAAAAACAACAACATCATCAATCAATGAAACAGGTGTGAAAACACTGCATTTGTTGGGTGCCAGTGTTTGCCTCCACCTATCTGTTTTTCTCTAAGGCAACCAAGAAATAAAAAGACCAGACATAAAGGAGTGTGAGAGAAATCTCTGTCAACTCACATCCACTTTACTAGCACAATCCGGGTACCTGGGATCCTTCGGGACTTCACACTGGCCTGTAACTCCATCTCGGCCTGTAGATGAAAAGGACAGGCAGTCACAGTCTGACAGCACTCTTCCACAGTACAGTAGCCTCAGTGTGGGATCCAAACGCTCTCGGTTTTAATGAGGCTTTGGGAGAGCCCTCTGTATCTTCTTCCATCTCCTCAACTTTATTTAAGCTTGCTTTATTACGCATTATGAAAGCGGCTTCTTGCCCTCGTTCCTCTTAGTTGTCTGCATAATGCTTGCTCTGGGCTTTGTTAAGAGCCCTGTACTGCTTTGTGTTCAGTTGGGTAGAAAAAAGGAACATAAAATTGCAAACATCCCCTCACCTTGATTAATAAACTCCCATCTCTCACTGGTAGCCGGTCCTAGTCAGCCTAATTAACGAAGAAAGAGGTTGTTCTTTGTACAACAGGCTACTTCAGACCCATCAAGCATGCTCACAGAGAAAGGAATTATGGGCTATTCTGCTTGATTATGAAAAGATACTAAGCAGCCGAAAAGCACCCTTGAACTTTTCAATCGGAATACATCCAGTGACTCCATGTGTTCTGTACACACATGGAACATTGATTCACTCCCACATCCTGCACTTGTTTCTCCTTAAACTTTCAAGTTTATAAATGCCTATTGAAATCTCTTTTGTTTGCAGTTTCAGATATCTTTAAAAATATTACAATGGTGGCCAAAATTGTTAGAACACTAGTATTTTCACCAGCTAAATATGGTTTTAAGTTTAAGTTTTAAGTGTGGTGTTCAGTTATTATTGGTGCTTAATAATTAATAATCATTCTTATTAATATTAGTGTTGAAAACAGTTATTTTTTTCCGCTGCTCAATAATTTGTCAACATTGATAATAATAGGAAAGTTTATTGAGCAGTAAATTAGCATATTATACTGATTTCTGAAGGATCACGTGACACTGAAGACTGGAGTAATGATGTAGAAAATCCAGCTTTACAATCACAGAAATAAATTACATTTTAAAATATTTTCATTAACACTTTATTTTAAGGTCCAGTTCTTGCTATTAACAGTCCATTAGCTATGACTTTTGCCTCAATAAACTCCTAATTTGCTGCTTATTAATAGCTAGTAAGGTAGTTGTTAAGTTTAGGTATTGGGTAAGATTAGGGATGTAGAAAACGGTCATGCAGAATATGTGCTTTATAAGTACTAATAAACAGTCATTTTGTTAATAATAGGCATGCTATTAAGTAACTAGTTAATAGTGAGAATTGGTCCCTATACTAAATCATTACCATATATTCAAATCGAAAACATTTCTAATAACACTTCACAATACTACCAATTATAGTACAGTATTTTAGTACTATAGTAACACATTGAGAGACCCATTTTCACTATTAACTGGTTTCTTATTAGCATGCTTATCACTAGCATATTGGGTGTTTATTAGTACTGGTAAAGCACATATTAATGCCTTATTCTTTATGACCATATCTTAGATCCCTTAACCCTACCCCATACCTAAACTGAACAACTACCAAACTAACTGTTCATAAGCAGCAAATTAGAAGTTTATTGAGGCAAAAGTTTTAGTTATAGTTAGTTAATAGTGAGAACTTGTCCCCAAACTAAAGTGTGACCAAATACATTTTTATTGTCTGGGATTGTGTCACGTTGTCATATTTTCACATTCATTGTGAACAGGCACAGTCACTGGAAACTAAGAACATGATGTTTGACTTTAGATCAAAAGAAACTGTAATTAGAAAAGTCCAAAAAGTCATTAAAACCCCATTTCAATAGAACACGAAGTGCTCTTTTTCAACATAAAAGTTCTCATAAAGTAAGCTGAGTATGAGCAGACACCTTAAGCATTCTGCTCAAACGGCAGAGCAGAAGTAAGAATTCTGTTTCCCCTTCATGGGAACTTCGTACTGCGTCCTCTAGGGGTCGCTATGGGGAACGCCTCGTCGTGACCCGTGTCGTAGTGACGTCATGGCTGTCGCCGGCGAGTGAGTTGGTGTTTTTTCAATGTATGCTTCAGACACGGGTCACGACGAGGCGTTCCCCATAGCGACCCCTAGAGGACGCAGTGTCTCGTTCCCTACTCAGGGAACCATGGTTACATAAGTAACCTGAGACGTTTTCTTACATTAATAGTTTAAATAAACCTCCCACACAGCTTGCACATATGCTCGCTAAAAACCTGCTGGAATTCCACCAAACACTGTTGGCAAACTTTAGAGATATCAAACCCTGCAGAGGTGCTCGCTGTACAAATAGCGGCAAGAGATGATTGGCATTATAGCGATCGAGTCCAATCAAGGTGCATTAAATAATAAAGACTGAATGTGCTGTCCTGACAAAAAAAATGGAACCGAGCCCAGACCTCTTCATGTCTAATTTTAAACAGTGCATTTTAATGATTTTGGCTCACTAAGAGACTAAAATGGGAGTTTTGGGTGAGTTATTGAATCTTGTGTGTTATGTGTACCTCTTCAAGGACCTAACAGACTTAATTTACTTAATTTAAGTTTAGACACAATGAAACACTTGTTAGTACATTCTAAATTATGGAAGAATTTGGGAATATAAAATACATGTGGCAATCATAGCTCAGATCATTTAAGCTTTTTAACTGGAGATTTAGGTATCTTGGCAAATAGTTTGAAATGCTGTTTGAAATATCATTGATCAATCTCTTCTGAAACTCAAGAGGAGAGTAATATGAGACCTTCATTTACTCTGTAAAAAAGCAGGATGCTTAAGTATTAGTCTCCAATTGTCTTCCATTTAATGTGATTGCTAATTCCTATCTGATTATATCTAAATCCTACAATATCCTTTGCAACAAGGAAATGTTCAATCCTTGCCACCCAAACATAAATGATAGATTCACCTCTGGCGGGGCTGTTAGTCTTCTTCAGAATCTGCTCCATTCGTATAGCCATGTCAGACACATTCTGGGCGATGGCCTGGATTCGCTCCACCAGTCCCACCGGCTGGAATCTGGAAAAGTGAACAGGACTAAGAGAGAGAAATGATGTGCGGCAACAGGGCTATTAGTTTGTTAGAGCTAAAGAAATAGTTCACCCCAAATGAAGCTGGGCTACTTTAATGATACTCTTCTGTTTTTTAGGAAAGAATCAGATCAGACATTTCGCCTACCATCTCATTTTGTGTTCCACAGAAGAAAATAAGAGTTTAGAACAACACGAGGATGAGAAAAGATGGTTTTAAATATGCAATATGGAAACGGAGCAAACCTTACACTACCTGTGCCTAATGGATATGAGTATTAAGTATTAATGGATGATTGTGTATGTCTAATTTAAATTAAAATGCACCTACACATACTACAGCCTTGAGAAGGAACGAGAGTCTGAAGTGCCTCTACTGAAGCAAGTCTTTCTATTTATTGTTGAACTGAATTGCAACATCCTTGAATGGTACAATTACCCATCGGACATGGTAATTATTTGAAATATGCTTGGAGCATGAAATAGCGATGCTTCTACACTGACACCATTCACACAGATAGATAATGAAAATGACATGCGGCATGTTTAGGCTTGGCCCTGAGAGAAAAACATGGTACAGCAATTACGTCGGTAGCAACTTAATTCCCTTGATGTTGACAGCATAGAAATCTAAACAATTAAAAAGCTGGGTTAAAATGAAAGGAAACATTGCATCATTTAATTGTCCCGGGGGTTGATTGCACAGATTGCAGTGTTTTGCTATTTAAAGGTAACATTAAAACAGCTTTGGAAAGTTTTAACCATGTGTTCGATATTTTCAAATGCTTTGTGTGTATCATTATGTATTGATTATAAGAATAATATTAGGTTGTTAAAGTAAAAATAATCCACAAAAAGTGTGAAACAATTATAAAACATTTCAACATTTAAAGGTAGGGTTTGAAAGTATAAGATCCCACCCTCCCTGCAAATCACTCTCCAAAGCCACGCCTCCTCAAAATCACATGAACACGCTCCGGCAGAGCAGAGGCTAACAGCGAAACGATGAGAGACGGCGTTGGTGGAGGACTGAATGCAAAGCTGTCAGATTAACTCATATCTCATTCACCGGTGAGAAAACATTACAGTACAAAGTGCATAATATTACAATAATAACACCTTCCATTCTCGCTCGGTCTGCAATAGCGTAATGAATGCGCTGATGACGTACTGTATCATGTCTGCGCAAGATATGCAAATACATACGATGACAGGCAGCTAGGACAGCCTATCATAGCCCTCAGACTGAGGGATATGATTGGACGAACATTTTATGGTCCTACGCCTTCCACAGATTATATAAATACATATAAATATATTTAGACCACTTAAGCGACTTTAAAACAGCATAACAACAATGTTTTTTAACCAAATCACCTACCCTGCCTTTAAGTATAAACTATGTATGCTATTTTGTATACAAATGTATGAATGTCCCACAGTTAGTGATGGGATACACAATAATGCTACAGAAGAATCACCTATCCCTGAGTTTGAACACTTGAGTTTCTAGCTCAGATATTTAACCATTACGCTTCACTGTCCCATAATGCTGAAAGACAAGGCTGAAATGAGCCTTAACAGAATTGCAGGTACTGGTTGAGTACTTCAGTACTCAAGTATTTAGAAGTGACAGCAGTTGAACAACTGTTGTACAGCAATAATGGCACAATTATGTGCAATACAGCATGCTGAAATTGTTTTCAGTATTTTAGCACAATTACCCAATAGTCAATTTGCTAATATCTGAAAGTCAGTTTGCTCATATTTGAATACAAAAATGTGCAAGACTGTTGATAGACACTGAAAATGGCCAAATGACAATAGAATTGCATTTGCATTTACAACCAATAAAAGATCCATATATTTGCCCATATTAGCCCTAAAAAAAATACAAAATGACAGAATGATCAAATAATCAAAAATGTTCAAGTTCAGATGTTCAGTACTCAAGTAAAGATTAGATAGATAGATAGATAGATAGATAGATGAGAAAACTTGATCTTGTTCTCCAGCATGATTTGAGAATAATCCAAAGAACATATTGTGTTTCAATGGAAGCATCTGACTGTATATACACATAGGCTACCTGAGTTCACATGGTTATGCATTTGCTTTTTTAATTAGAAATTTGAAAAATTCAAGTAGTTTACTATTTCTAGTTTACTTCATTTAACTTTTTCATCGCACTATAACTTTTGCTATTTTAAATGTGCAAAATCCTAAAACTTAGTTTGTTTGCAAGTAAAAACAAAACAAAACAAAAAAACTGTCACTGTTAACCCACTGGACTTTTCAAGCTTTGTACAATTCTAGTTATTTTTGGCTATATTTTTCTCTTGCATCTGAAAGTATTTCAATAAAAACTCAATAGGTTTTATTTCAGGTATCTCAAGAGACTTGAAAATTCTCTTTCAGAGAGACAGGGAAATGTCTTTCAGCAAGTTTAAGGAATGCATTGTCATCTTTGTTTCACACCAAGAGCTTGATTTCTTTATAATACAGCTCACATGAACCGCCTGCAACCTCGTGCCCTGCAGTTACATCAACAACATGCTGAAGCAAACAGCCCCCCTCTGTGAGCAACTCTGTCACTCCCAATAAATGTCACCTCCACACGGCACAAAGCTGAACGCTAAAAAAAAAACACCATCTGAACCCTGACCTTTCTGACTTCACACCCAAAGACAATAAAGTGTTCAGGCGGAGCTGTCACATGCATGTTTAACTCCCGCAATCTCTGCACTTCTGAGATGTCTTTTTTTAGATACTGTCAGAGCTTTTTACCTCCTGTGGTCTTTCATCCACACCAATCAAATCAGCTTTAGAAAGAACGTCAGTGGTGATTTTTCAGTCGAACAGACACATTTCAAAAACACAAGTTCTAAGGCTTTGCTGATACTACACCCGATTCAATCTGTACTGTATTTCAAACCCGATCATTACGACTGACTTTCACATTTCGTAAGTGTTGACATTGGAGCCGTTTGTTCAGACGGTGTAGTCACTATCCGTTATATCTATATCGGTTACTGTTATAATTACTTTGGCAACAATATGATGCCCAGAAACTTTCTTCTGCAACAACACAAAGTACAGCGCTCTTGAGGCATTGCTGTATTTTACACCTTCATGAACATGTCCACTCATTCACTATTTACTATATAGCAAATGGCACATAGTTCACTACATGGTGAAAGAGTGAACAAAAATGAGAATCCCTAACCCTAAAAAAACTACTACTCAGTATCTGATCTTATATCATTCAGATTGAGACAGATGTCCAAAAACCAATTTTTTATTGGATTTTAACCATACTGTTGTTCTTAATAACTAATTTAATCTGGTTTCATGCTGTTCAGTCTACAAAACTTGAATTTAAGTCAGATATGGCTACAGATTCTGGCTACTAAAATCGTTATATTGAGACTCCCTTACATTTCACGCTCAACTCAACTTTATTTTACAGTAACTCGAGTCACAACTAACAACCTAATTGTAAAAGAAGGCTCTTTACATTGTCACATAACTAAAAAATTGCACTATACACTTTTTACCCTAAAATACCCCTTTTGCACAATAGCATTTACAGTATTTATGTAAAGAACTTGTATAGCTTGTTTTAGATTATGCGTATGTATAGTCAACTATTTATAGTATATGTATAGTTAGATTACCGCTTCAGTAAGTTAGCTATGTACAAGTTCAAAACTGTTTCTTACTTCTGTTAGGTCTGAAAGACATCACCAATTACAAGACACCATCCCCCAGCACTGTGGAGAATCAACAACTGGCAGACGATCTGAACGAGTTTTATTGCAGGTTTGAAAAAACACCATTCACACC